ATGTATTGCTCATCTCATCAACAGATGGCTCTATACGGATGTCAACATCGATGCAACATATGGTCACGTGTTGTCACGTGTTTACGTAAAACACGTGTCAAAACAAATTATTTTAAATTAAAAGTTGAATTCAAGTAGAAATGAGTTGTGAATCAACTAATGAGACAAAAGATGTCTTTTCTTATACGAGAAGAGATGAGTTCACTTCAGAGACACTCAAGATTGAGATCAGAAATCTGCCCAAACATGTGGGATATGACGTGAGTATCACTTATACCACAATTTGTCACAATTAGTAAACATTGCATTCAATGGACAGACTTTGAAGAAACTGTTGAAAAGACTAGATTTAAAGCCATTGAAAATAAAGCTCATCGGAAGAGCCGGTTCTCCCACTCATTCATTCGTCACATTCAGGACCAGTGAAGACAGAGAGCAGGCCATCAACCAATTGGATCAATACTTATGGAAACAGAATGTATTGGTTGTGAAGACAGCGAATCCAATTCCCGACCCTTTGGTTGAGAAGCGAAATGAGCGCAGAAGTGAAGACAATTGCGATTCAAAGAGAATCAAGACATTGGAAGGCAATGAAGTGTCAGCGGAACAGTTAGCCGACACACTCAACGACAAGATTGCATCGCTTTGGCGAATGTCTTATTCCCAGCAATTAGTCGTCAAATATGATATTTTGAAAGCATTTTTGTTGAGTCTTAACAAAGAATTGGCTAAAATTGTTAGTCAATCGAGTGAACAATCCTCTCAATTGAGTCTATGGCTCACAAGAGCTGCTAAAGAGTTTGACAACAAGTGTTGTCCTCTTCAGGATATTAGAGTCTCAACTCTTATCAATGGATATCGAAATAAATGTGAGTTTACTATCGGTATCGACAAAACCGTTGGCTTTCGGTTAGGCCTGTATAAGGAAGGAACTGTTAAAGTGATTTCGCCTCCAATTAATTGTCCCATAATTGGTGATCAAATGAGGAATGCTTTGAATGCCATTCAAACGTATGTAACCTCGAAGAGTACTCTTCATGGTTTTGATCCGGAAACACATTCAGGACATTGGATTCAGTCTACTGTTAGAACTTCGAGCACCGGCTCTATGGTTATTATGGCTCTTAATCCTCAACAACTGACTCCTGAAGAAATAAATAGAGAAAAAACACAAATAATCGATTTCTTCCAATCAAATCCTGATTTTGGCGTTCATTCCGTATTCATTCACATCTCTTCTAAAAGACATGAGATATCCAATGAATGTATAGATCATCTGTTCGGTGAATCCACTATTTCAGAGACAATCAATTTAGAGCCAACTCTTACCTTCCGAATCAGTCCATTGGCTTTCTTTCAAATCAACACATTAGGGGCTGAGTTATGTTATAAAGCAATCTGTGATTTAATTGAACCAAATGCTCAGCTAATCCTTATTGATATATGTTGTGGAACCGGAACCATAGGTATGATTATCTTATCATTGATTATCATCGCATTTCTATACAGTAGAACATTGTTTGCCTTTCTCTATAGGTTTGTCATTAGCGTCAAAAGTAAAGAAAGTGTTTGGTATTGAATTGAATGCCGACGCTATCCGTGACGCCAAATTCAACGCACAATTGAATGCTATTTCTAATGTCGAGTTTATTGAAGGAAAGGCTGAATCCATGATCGCAAGTGTATTGCAATCTTGTGGCCATTCGCCAGTTGTGGCTGTTGTAGACCCGCCCAGAGCTGGACTTAGTATGTTTTCACCACAATATATGCACATAAAAATGTAACGCAATGGACAGACTTTACAATACTTACCTTTATATTGCGTTAGGCTTTTATCATATATTTGGGTATATATTATCCTATAATGAATTGTCATTCAAACAGATAACTCCATTATACGAGCCCTCAGAAGCCATCCGTTGCTCAAGCGATTGGTTTATGTTTCATGTGAACCAAACAAAGCCATTAAGAATTTAATTGAGTGAGAAATATATTTGTGGTAAAAATGTCATTTTATTTGAACACTTGATTTTGTAGTCTATGTCGTCCGCCATCCAAGACATACAAAGGACAGCCGTTTGTGCCCATTCAAGCCATACCTGTCGATCTCTTTCCCCACACAAATCGTTGTGAATTACTTCTCTTATTCGAGAGACTGGAGACTAATTTTGTTGATTTCATGTCTTAACTAATTAATAGAAAGGATGACAATTGAATCATAAGTTGTATTCTAACAGTTAATGATATATCAATTAAATATATCAACATATCATGTATTGTAAGTTATTTGTGACAAATGCTATAGTCTTGATGCCAATGAGATAAATAACTGTGAAAGAGATTACGCGCTAAATCTAACACAGAATTCACATCATTCTTACGAACTAAGCCATCGAAATGCATCTGAATATCATTCGAGTCGTAATTATTACTAATTATTTTATCACGATTTTGTAATAGTATTGTCAGACATAGAAATAACATAAAGGCATCGTTTGAACCCAATTGTTCCGGATTTAAAAGAGCAACACTTGTCGAGGCCTTTGAAAGTTCTCCTAATGAAGAACATGACAAAGATTTAGTAGTGGTTGTAATCAATAGATTCAAACTAGATTTCATATCACTAATAGTTTTGATGCCATTTTTATGTTCACAGCTCAACCTTTGAGACAGACTATCATTGACTCGCTCTTCAACACACTTATAATGTCGACTGCAATGAATGTGTGATATAGTATTGCATGTAATTTGTTGTAAATCAATGTCTATTTGAGAATCAATTGATTTGGAAATATTTTCATAATAGACATTAAGTTTTGGGTCTGAAGGAGACGGTGAACTACAGTGTAGATTATCGATGAGTTCCTTCTGTGAAGAGTCTATGTGTTTAGAATCATTGGTCATAAATTGTGGCATCAATTTAATGGTTCGGAGCGGAGATATTGATGCCTTAGTTGGGGTCAAAGTTGGATCAATGGATATATTTTGGCTAAATTGTGGTCTCAAATGAAAGCTCTTATTAGGAATATAAAGGAAATGGTCGTCGAATAAGTGTAGACTTGTTTTCATATCAACGCAAGGCATTGAAGACCACAACACTTCGAGCATAAGGAGTGTGTCATCGAAAGGGAATTCGCGCTTTAGCTCCAGTAGTAGCCATCGATAGCAGAACAGCAATTCGTGTGCGCCCTGTCGTCGTAGGTATGAATACAAGTCGTGATCATAGTATTGAAGCAGTTGTGATAAATGAGCGAACTTTCGAGACATCACTTCTCCGTTGGCATTGAAATTGGATGAAAGTCTGCTCATTAGAGCACAGAAACAGATGTATGCGTGCGATTCGTCTGTTAACAAACATGCATTCAACAATTCGTTATTAATATGCATTTTTAATATTAATACTACATTTTTAAAATACTTATTCATTAAATATTCATTATCTCTGTGTAGTATAAGACAGATTTGCCCCGATTTGTGCCCGTGATCTAGATAGTATTGCACCACTTTACTGATATTGACTTTATATAGCATGCAATAAATGGCAGATAATTTGCTACATTAGTTCCCTCGACATTTATATCTGCCGGGATGTTGCCACATTTAGGGCGAAAAGATATTGGGAAAATAAAAATCTTGCCAAAATTGTCTAACGTTTGTACCTCAACAACACAAGCAGCAGAACTTGTACTTTACTTGTAGTGTTGATTAACTTGATAAGTTGTATGAATGAACTACACTACACTAACCTGTATTACACTATTGTAATAACTAGTTGTACAGTAGTAAACAGATAATGAATAGTGGATTACCTTTCATAGCATACAAGAGAGGAGAGGCTAAATCACTCATTCCCTGGCAGTAAGTTTCTCTATGATTGAGCGAATAAGTGGTGAGTAGATTGAGAAGAGCCGTCACATTGTCGTTATCATCATCACTGTTGCCATAGTAGAAGTGATGCTGTCTATCGGTTCGCATCACATCTTTCTTGATCTGATATGAAAAGCAAATAATGATTGAGTCATCTCTACTTCGATATTCAAATCATATAACCATATCAAGTGTCTGTTCGACAATTGGGTCCTTTTCATTGGATTGCCATAAGTTTCTCATTTGACAATAGGTTTCGCACTTAAGTTTCATGAAATCAATTCTCTGTTGAGCTGTGAGTCCGTATGGATAGACATTAAGAAGATGTTTCCAAACAACTTTCCTAAGACTTGGTTCAACGCCGCGTTCGTAGACAGCGATTCTCATATCTCTTATACATTTGACTTTACCCTCAGAATCGAGGAATGTTCTCAACTCGTTGTCATTGAGAGGACGTGTCACCGATTCTGGCATTTGTTTCCCTTTACTTTTTTCAAGCGCTCTGTTCATCAATTTCTGGACCTTTAAATAATGTCAACAAAAATAAGAAACGAGTGCTCAAAAGTGCATCGATTGGGTGTCAAGACCTGATTTATGAGCAAAACAGTGGTCGATGTGGTGGATGTGCCGTCGCATTGGGTCCGCACCACATCTGATGTGGTGATTATATCCCAATCAAAAAGTGAATTACAATTGCTTTTGTCCACAAATAGTCGTATTTGTAGACATGGGTGTGAGTTATGACGATAAGCGTAGTCGAGATCCAAATCACATTGAATACAACACAACTCATAGGTATCCCGACGTAAATAACTGAGTGTGAAGTCACTTGAAATCAAATCAATGGTCACTATATTGTCGTAGAATATCATTGCATAACATGTGATACCTGTTTAGGTTGAATGCTTGGACCACAAGTTTGTATAACACAGATAATGGTGTCATCTTTGGATTAACACTCAGTCTTCGCACTTCTTCTCCATTATTAGTCTTCAAATAATTGTCGTATTTATCTGTCTTTCAATACACAACACAATTAGTATCACAACTACTGTAGAGTTGATTATAATCACCAAAATGTCTATTTATACTCACTTTCAATACTTCTATACCAATCACTTCCGGAATGTGATATTTAATCAAATGAGACATCATTTCAATTGAATGCAAATATTACACACATTTAGCACTTGATTGAGTTTAGGGTTAATGTTATCCAAAACTAATTGTTATTACCGTTAATAATACAACACATCAATCATTACTGTTATTACCGTTATATACCTATTAATACCTATTATTACTGTTATATACATGTATGAATCGTCATAATTATAATCATAATCGTAACAATCATTTCTCATTGCAGGCAAAACACTGCAAATGACAATCACTTATTACAATACTCTTACGGTTACATCACTAACAAAACATACGTCCAACTCATCCATAACTCACTCACGAGTGTTGTTCAACGGCTGTACACGAGTCCAGCCATGAGTGGACACATGAGTGGACAGACCAGTGATGAGGCCATCAATGAATGGATGCTAAATGTTGTCAATCATAATGATTGTTGAAATTGTAAACTTTGATTATATAAAGCTTTATATTGACATAATTGATGACATGTCACATGTGTTGACATTGTTGTCAAATAGTGTATACAATATTTGTATGCTTTTTAAGTCACTCCCACTGACACCCTCGTGATTGGTCCTACAGGGGGATAGGGACTAATTTTTACCCAGATTTGTATATAACTTGTATATTGAATACTATTAATAGTAAATTGTTGTTAAATCGGGTGTTAATTGTGACAGAAATGACAAACAAGTCTAACCGGTATTAATATATCACATATACTATAGTCTAGTGATTAGATTAGACATGATTTGTGACCATATGTTGTCTTTGTTGATAGCATTACAACAAACGAAGATTTCTGGAATCAATGCCAATCTTCTGCATTCAGTTTTGATGACATCGATGTCCACGTATGCCATCTATTATGCCATATATTATCTCATTTTGATTACTCTATACTAATATACTTATTGTTAAGCAATCATACCATGGATTGGAGGACTCTTTGACTCTTGAATCCAATCAATCTATCCATACATCAAATGCCAACCAAACCAAGAGTTCAGGTTTGAGTGACAAGAGTTTTAGCCATTAATCAAAGTGGACATTGTTTTCATAGATTTAGAAGTACCACAAAGTTTGGTACAAAATCAGATCCAGAAGTGTTTGAATCAAATCCAAAGCCAACAAAAAACTATATCTCATAGAATGTGTCCAAAAGAAGTGATCACATGTTTATCCAAAGGAATTGATATTAATTTATATGAATATAAGGGCAAAGAAGAGAAAGTGGATCTTTTAGACAATGCTTTGCATACAAATGATGGTAATGTCATCACTAGTGTTGTTCTTTATCTGAAGAGAACAATCAAAGCCAATATATTTAACTATGAAATAAGTAAAAGATGTTTAGCCGCCGATCACTACTTGTTTTACTTAAGACAAAACCAAAAAACCGATGAATTGATGGACACGTTATCAATGTTAGGCCGACACGAAGAGGCGGCCATGACTGCATACACTCAGGCTATGACTTGTGTCGATATTTCAGCTAAAATTCAGAATTTAAAAAATTGTTTGCGAAACCATTTTACGAGTGGAGGCAATGATTGTATTTTTTGGAGTAATCATATTTCAGAGCAAATATCACTTCTGGAACAACAGTTGCCAATAGAGAGTGACGATCGAAGACAAGAACGCAATGGTATTAATCATATGTTTAATCAAATGGAAAGGAAATGTTTAATTGAAATGTCTGTCATATCAACCCTTTATTATTGTTCATTATATCACTATTGTTTGCCTGAAAACCATTTTGCAAGTCCTAAAGCCATTAGTAAAGCATTTCAATTGAGTGAAAAACAATTTGTTTGGACCGCTCTCTCAGCTTTAGCTAAGTCTCAACAGTGGTTACAAATCGATGCTCTCTTTGAATATAAGGTAACACTTGTTATGCAACAGATATTGTTATAATTAATTGAATTGAAGTCATGGTTAGGCAACAAACGGATCAAGTCGTTGATTCCATTCGACAAAGTGGTCATATTATTGCATAGGAATAGCGCTCCACACGATATGCTATCTAAATATCTACACCTTATCGACGATTTTGACATTAAGTTTAGTTTAGCCAAAGATATCAAACTTTTGAACATTGCTATTGATGTATGTTTTAATACATTGTTATTTATTCAATTTCTCGTATTATAATCATATCTTTATTATATAATTATAGCCTTTAATTAAAGCAAACGATCGTAAAAGACTAGAAGAAGTCTCAACTAAACTCGACATTAATTCAGAACATTATGTTTACGTACAAAATGCTATTTTATCCATTGGTTTACGCAATTAAAATAACATGAATTGATTCAAGCAATCACTACTGTATATAAGATACTTACACTTTTGTCCTAATCCTATATCATTTTATAATCCATTTATTAATATAATATTAGTGTTTGTTTTGTTCATTAAATGATTGTTTTTAATGTATTCTTACTGTATTACTGAATTACAAGCTTCTATTACATTACATTACTACAGTCAACTATCGATGCTGTCAACAGAATGGTTCCTGGGATTTGGTTGATAACATCGATTAGTTGACAACATAGAGATAATTTTAACATTAGGTCTATGTGGTAGGGATTTGGTTTGACTGTATTCTATTACAAGCCGTTTAGTGGATTTGGATTTAAGCGTAATTCAACATAACAGTAAGCAACAGTATTTTGCTGTACCGGCCGTTCTTATGGGTGTTGTACTGTTGTTGAGCCCCGATTTGTGGGGAGAGGACCTCTACTAGAGGTACACTCGATTTAAGGGCAAATTCCATATATAATGAGACAATTTACTGAACACATAGCAACATTTGACCCCTATTTAAGGAAATTGTCATTAAAAATTCAACAAAAATATACTTTTTAACATAATTATGAATTATTTGAAAAACATTTTTTATCAATTATCGATTTTTATCAATTATCAATCATTAACAATTTGACAAAATTGTGTTATTTTATGTTTTTATTAAGATTAACACTAATTCCGGTATAAGGGTACCCCGATTTAAGGGACAAAATTATCTTTCACTAATAATATCCTTAAATCGGGGTCTGCTTGTATATCAATATGTAGAATCTTACAAGTTAGACTTAAAGTCTAAATCTATATAGTCATTCAAAAGTGAATTTAAAAAACTTTTTTTTTGTGAATATACTATCTATCGATTGCTTCAACGAAAAAACATTTCATGTTTAAGTCAAATAAAACTAAGAAATTTCATAAATATTATCATTAATTCCCAATTTATTTGAAAATAAATTTTTAGTTTAAAGATAATATCGATTTTTTGATAATTATTCTTATTATTAATGCTATTATATTCATATACTTGACTATATTTGACAAGAATAGTGTACATAAGAAAATGATTGTCACGAAACTTTTGTTTGGCATTGAAATGAAATGTTGAGAAATTGATATTAAAAATAATTTGAAGTTCATTAGAATTTCTTAAATACAGATTCTGTATATTCTGTATATTATTTTTATTCATATAAACAGAAATTGGATTTCATTTTTAAAACATTTGGGTTTGAATATCAATGAATGACACGAATTCTGTACGAATAGATCCGATTCAGGCATCGGAAAGGATGGCTAACAATAATTCATTTCAAGAATTAAATGCTAATTCTCTTAACGGCGTGAATATTAAACAGAATTTAAATTCAAAAGAGATGACATCCGGCGACGAAGCCCTCAATGGCCGTACAATCGAGGTTTCGTGGCGTAATCTCGTCTATACAGTACAGGCAAACCCTTTGCTCGCAAGCTTTCGCAAGGATAACAAAAGCCGAACCATTTTGAAGGGTCTTTCAGGTTATTTTAGAAGTGGAAATTTGACCGCAATTATGGGTCCGTCAGGCGCTGGAAAGTCAACACTATTAGAGTGTGTGTCAGGATTTCGGAAGAAAGGACTATCAGGTGATGTCCGCATCACAGGAAGCAATCGTATTAAGATTGGATTAATTGCTCAAAACGATCAGTTACTCAATCAATTAACTGTGAAAGAAGCACTACTTTTTGCCTCAAAACTCAAAAACTATCAACAAATGGAAAATAAAGATCTCGAGGATGTCGTTGTCGAAGATAATTATGCTGAAAATCAAAGCAAAGATTCGTCTTCATATCATGATATGCTGGCCAGACATGTTATCAAACAATTAGGTCTCGAGGTTTGTGCCGATACAAAAAGTGGCAACTGTTCGGGTGGACAGCGAAAACGTCTATCAATTGCCTTAGAATTGATCTCAAAGTAAGTATAAATTATACATTTTTATGCATACAATTGATTAAATATTTATCTATAATTAATATATAATGAAATGATATAAACATTGATTATAATTAGACCCAATATTCTGATTCTGGATGAGCCCACTTCTGGTTTGGACAGCTCTGCCTGTTATCAAACCGTTTCTGTAATGCAAGACTTAACACAACAAATGCAATCAAAGAATCCGATAGCAGTGGTGGCAACAATACACCAGCCATCAGCCCGAGTGTTCAATCTGTTTCACCACGTCTATGTCATTTCATTTGATGGCCAATGCATATTCCAGGGCTCTCCACAACAACTTATTCCCCAATTAGCCAACGTTGGCCTTAATTGTCCACAATTTCATAATCCGGCAGATTTTATAGCAGAAGTTGCTTCGGGAGAGTACGGACACGAAGGCATCGTTAAGTTGGCCGCACAGAAGAAACAGACAGACTCTGCTATTCCGGTCATTTCTGGACCCAAAAGCTTAACATTGGCTCAAATATCGCAAACCCAATCTTATCCCGTTATACTTCACACTTGGCTCTTGTTTTATCGCTCACTTCTGGTCATACTTCGGGACCCAATGCTAACTTCTTTGAGATTTGCGTCTCATTTAATTACAGCAGTATTTATAGGTTTGCTTTACGGCGATGCTATTGGACAGCCGGGAGGATGTCCTCCACAAGTGTCTCCTCTCAACGATTTGGAACATTTCGCTGAATTTCGGGAAAAGTATGAAAAGGAAACCATTACTATCACTGAAAACGTGGCGTTTGTCTTCTTTACCCTAATGTTTATCATGTTTGGAGCAATGATGCCAACAATCATGACATTCCCTATGGATATGCAAGTATTCCGCAAAGAAAGAACTAATGGATGGTATAGTTGTGCCACTTATTACTTTGCTAAGACACTCGCAGATATGCCATTTCAGGTATCAATCATTCACATGTTATACTAATCATATTTATATCAATTAATCAACATTTGAATTTCTATTCTTCAGTATTAATACTATTGTTATTAAAATGTCTTATAGTTTATATTTCCGGCGACTTTCACAACCATCAGCTATTATATGACAGGACAGGACGACTCATACCTGCGATTCACTGGTTTTACCATAATCTCGATAGCAATCGCATTGATAGCCCAAAGTCAAGGTCTGCTAATCGGTGCTATATTTATGGAGGACGCGAGCGCTGCTGTATTTTTAGGGCCCATAACTTGCATTCCTCTTATGCTTTTCGCCGGATTTTTTGTCAGAATATCAACGATTCCCTCGTATTTCAGACCTTTGACTTACATCTCGTATTTGCGGTATTCGTTTGAAGCATACATTGCTGTCCTCTATGGTTACGATCGCTGCGAATGGGACCCCAGTTTAGCTAACCTTACGAATGCAAAGCCTGAATGGTTAGACTACTTGACACAGATATTGGCCCCCAATTCCGATACCACTCCAGAGGGAGACAATAATAAAGAGAACTTCATTCAGACCCTATTGGATAACCTGAGCGGACAGTTCGGCTCCAGTTCTGAGGAGGACTACCAGTCAATAGTGATGTCTCAGTTCGAAGTCAGTGACGAGAGTCTCATTTGGAACTCAATTATTTTGACCCTCTTTTTCATTGCTATGCGAGTTATCACTTATGCTGTCCTTCTCTGGAAAGTCAACAAAAGGGAGTGAAAGGCAGTCAAAGGCTGTGAAAACATTAGAACTTACTATTATTTTAATGTTCAAAATTATTTAACAATTAATATTAATGTAATTAAATCGTGTAATCTATAAGACAGTATCGAAAATGTATAGGCAGTGTATACATTGTATTTGTATAGTCTATACATCATTATACCGTAAAGCGCAACATATAATTGTATTCAATTATATACGCTTACTTCAGGAGTTTATGTGCAAAAATTTAGTTTTTTAAAAGCTTTTTAGTTTAGTTTTTAAAAGGTATATGTGACATATGTCCATTAGTGGGATAGGGTGCAATTTGCAATTATTGCTAGAAAATGAAAGTACAATAAGGAGTCAAGTAATATACTTCATTTGTTCAGACTTCCTCGGATCTGACAGTTAGTAATCACTATTTCCAGAAAAATTTTTAAAATTAAATCTTTTATTTGATGAATAAACACATCATATTATAAATCAATCGATAGCTATGGATGAGAGGAATAGAATTCTGAAGGAATTTTCAAATTCGGTAATAATTGGAAAAGTTATTTTAAAAATCAAAAATTTCATAACAATTGAATACGTTTATTATGATAAATTGCGTAATTATTGTACTCCACTCAATTTTAAGCGAGACTACAATGATGTTTAAATTCTCAAAATAAAAATCAAATATTTTTAATGTACAATTTTTGGTATTTTCGCCATTACCTCTAGTAACTAAATTACTCCTTTTTTTACTAAATATGTCGTGCAATTATTTTGATTATGCTTTCCTTAAATCTATCAGGAAAAGCCAGAAGGGGCTTAACTTTTAATCATAACTATTGCAATGATTTCAACCATTGATTCAATGATTCAAACATGATAAAAATTCAGGTTTACATTCATTTCAATGGTAATAATTGAAGCAAATGTTAAAGTTAAGCCCCTTGTGGCTTTTCCTAATAGAAATATATTACACAAACTTTTAAAACATTTTTAAATTATAATTTCGATTCATTTATATACGATGTTCTACCAAAGAATACGGTATAGTTCTATACTAAAGTTCTATACTATACTATGTAGTTCTATACAGGTATACTATGTAATTGATTAAAACATTTTTAAATTATAATTTCGATTCATTTATATACGATGTTCTACCAAAGAATACGGTATAGTTCTATACTAAAGTTCTATACTATACTATGTAGTTCTATACAGGTATACTATGTAATTGTTATCAATTTTGAGTCGAGGTCTGTGAAATTATATGCAATGCTTTACACAATACAATCAAACATCTATAATAGAAGGACAAATATATTTGTTATAGAGGAAGTTTATAGAGATGTTGCACTGCATGGCTAGCGTTTCAACTAAATATTTCCAAAATATTGTATGAATTTAATAATGTGATCAAAAATGCCTATATTTTTCTGTATCTCAATGTATTTGATTTATTAAATGTACTTAAAATTGGTGTATTTTATCAAACAAGGCTAACACAGCGAGGATTTACGTTAACCACAATTCGGGTGATCGGGTGCTCACACAATACATTAGCATTCGTCCCGGCGATAGACTTAGCATTATTGCTATAGATGTGTATTCCTATCCATAAACTTATGAGCAAATTCTTTGCTGCCTTTTGCCGTCGGAAGTGATGGTAATGGGAAGTAATGGCCAATTTTCAAATGGCTAATATATGGTGTATAGGCTATAAACCACATTATTCATATTGAATTGTGGTTACAAATGCAAACATCGGTAAAAACTTGGATTTATGGTAAAAGTAACACGTGATTGTTCAATTAAAACAACTCATTTAACAAACGGGACAATTATGAAATAATTGTATGAAATAATTAAGCAAAAGTACTTGGTTCAAGGTTTTGGGCTAGTAGTAGGTAAATGTGTGCCGAAGCACCCAACCATTGCCAACTCATTCAACACTGTGTTCTCCAATATGCCTAACAAAGAAGGAACAGCTCCGGAACGGAGGGGCACCTAAACTGCCAGTGGACGGGCGCACCCGTCTCTCTTAATCCCAGTCTCTGGAAATCTTGATATAGAAATAATATAACATTAGTTTTCAAGTTATTTCAAATCGATGTACTTTCAAAAGTTAAACAAAATCTACACATCTCGAAATATTAATTGTTGTATCTCTCAATAATTAATACAGGAATTAATAAATGATTTTATATCTACAGTATTATTGGTTGAGCAGTGAATTCAAATACAATCGATAAATACTGAAACTGAGACCCTTTATCACA